TTGACCTTCAAATGAAGAATTATGACATGGAACTTATGTAAACTATTCCAAGAGTCAAGGAGAGACTTAAGGAGATTTAAAAGGAATCTATGATGTATCGACACTATTCTCTAAGGAAGTACGCATTGTCGCACACAAACAGAAGTCGAACACAGATACATGTCAGACATGGCTAAGACATATGTAAAAAATGACAAAGGTGTGTCCGATAAAAATAATATTAAAATAAAATCAAACAAGCGTATCCAATATCACTATCCTGATATTTTACTACAAAATTATTTTTTAAATATAATTTTTCTTTTTGAAAATTATAATTTATTAAGAGTATATATCTTTTCTTTAAAAAATTTACTAAATTGATTAATACCCGATTCGCCCATATCCCACATTCCAAAAGCAGTTGTTTATGCTCGACTAAGGTTGAAATGATCAACAATGAGGATCCCTAATGGCTGATAGTAATATTGTATATATCTAATAATATTTGTAGGAAACATGGTTACCGCATCTGGTAATAATAATACTCGATGTCACCTTGAACAATCATGTCCCTGATCTGCCATGCCTTCTTGATATATGCACATGACGATGTCCAACATCCCCTCTCTTTGCTAAAGTTCGCATTTATTGTATCGAAGGTAAGAGACTTTCTTGTTATTTTTTCTATCCATTTCACTGCATATGGTTCAATTTTCATTTGCGTGATTTTACTTTCCTAGCTATTTTAATATGCTTAAATATTTGGTTTCAAATTTTACCAGGCTCAGTAAATATTTCCTAGTTGTTTCATTGTTCTTTTGTATATACAACAACAAAATATCATGCTTTTATCCCACTACATGAATTTTTTTTCTCCATTGTATCATGTTAAGCGTTTACTTCTCATTTAAATCTAAAAAAGAAAGATCATTTCTAATATTTTCTAACCAAATTTTTTTTAGGTCTACCTCTACCTTTCTTAACATAAGTCAAATCTAATGCATCTACTTTCCTATAGGTCATCAGAAGGCTGTCATTTTATGTGACCAAACCATCTAAGGCGACTCTCTCTAATCTTATCTTCCACTGGAGCTACTCCAACCTTTTCACATATATGCTCATAGTGTATCATGTCTCTAAGAGTAAAGCCACTCATCAACTTGAAAGAATTATATGTCAAAATTTTGGCCTGCAAGGTTTTGACAAAAAATAGAGGGGGAAGAGATAGCCGGTTATGAGAGAATTACATGAAAATAAAATTGCAACATTTCACTCTATTCTAAAAAATTAAATTATAAATAGCTAAATTATTCCCTATTTTTTATATTTGGATAGGAAACACTAAATTTAAATCAAACTTATATGGAGTGGATAAAAATGTGTAAAAATAGCCAAGCCAAACTTATAATGGTAAGAGGCTTTTTTGTTCTTTTATCTATCCATTTCATCATTTGGTTTCAAGTTTCAACATGTGCTCTATAAGAAGTTAAGAGTTTATGTTCATTTTTAAATGTTCTATAAAAGAATAACGAGCTTTAGTGATGATGGATTTCGTTCAATAGAGCCTAATATTGAAGATAATAAAGTTTGTGAAATCATGTAACTAAGTTAAAATCTTCTAAAGGTGGGGTAAATATAACATTCAAATGCAGTTATTATAATGTCATTTATAAATGTTCATATTCTAAAGTGAAAGTCCAATTGTTGATGATTATTGATAATGGAATTAAAATTTTCCCTACAATTAGTTCTTTACAATTGAATGAATTGCAAAAGCAAATCAGCAACGCTATGGCAAGGATAAAAAGGCTCTTTCTAAAGAGAGATAAATAATGTTGGAATAGGATCATTTTGAATGGACGAATATAAGCCTAAGAAAAGAAAAGATGTTGCAGAGAGTCATTTGGAGAAGTCATTTAATTTGAAAATACAAGAAAAACTGGATGGTGAAATTGCAAAAACATTTCTAAGCTAGCCTTCCTTTAAAACTTAAATGAAATCATCATCACAAGAACAAGAACACAATTCCTTTTGCTTGTAATAACAATCTTGTAGTTTATGTGCTACCAAAAATATAATGTCATTAGACAAAGTTATTGCCAAAGGAGATATTCAATATTGAGAAGTTACTTAAACTTACAGTTAGAAAATGGAAAGAGAAAAGAGTAAGGTTGGTATGTGATGGCTAGGCCGACCCTGGAAGAAGATGGCTTATCAATTTTATGGCAGTAACAGAGATTACCCAATGTTTATTAAATCTATAATTCTTAAGGGTCATATAAAAATAAATTTTTCATTTTCAATTTGATCAAATAAGTAATTGAGATGGCTGAATCTTTAAATGTTATTCAATTTAGAATCAGCAATGTTCGAATTTGTAGAGCATGAGGGTTACTTGATAATTAAATATATCATCACATCTTTTGTACTCGATGTGCATTCCCTCAATTTTACTTCAATGAACATTTTTGTAACTAAAAATATCAAGGAAAATAAAATTACTTACAATGATTATTAGATCATAGTAATTGTTACAGATTGTCTTAATCAAAAATTTTATAAAGAATCACTCTATGAGGCTTTCTAGATTAAATGATTTCCCAACTTTGAAAATACTTGTCACGGATGAAAATTGTTTTTCCTCGGTTATAATAATTTTGAGAAGATTTAAGAGGTGATAACAACATGTGGAAGGTGATAAAAACATTTGGGATATTGCAGGACTTCCTCTTGATGAGTCAGAATTGGAAGTAATAATATTTCATGATGATGATATTGAAGACAAAAGACAAATACATGATGAAGAAGCTAATCCTATTATACCTTTTAGTGATTAGTTAAATCTTGATGATGTATTAGATAATTTATGATTATTTTCTTGATGTTGTATTAAATAATTTATGCTTATTTATTTTTATATAACAAGCTAGACAAATAATTATGATGCTGACTAATAATTTCTTTATAATTCTTAATATTATGCTTATTTAATTTTTATGCACTATTTAAAAATTATAATGTCATGTTCAAGCCGTACGCATGTCATATTTTCCATAATTGACATGTCCCATATCAATGTTGTATTATGTCCATGTCTGTATTTATGCATCATAGATAGACATTGTCAACCATCCCAACAACCACCTCACTCCACTACCCATGAAACAAGAGAATAACCCATCTCCCTCCAAGCAACTACCCAGCCAACCCCTTAAAAGGAACAACCAACTATCTTGGGTGGAATTTCAAATTAAAGTGTAAAATTCTAAGGAATGTTTTTTATGTGATATTTGACTATAACAAGACTTACTATGATTTGGAATTAAATTTGGAAGTGTTTTGAAAACAGTTTCTCCCTCATATGACTTGGTGGTTGAGAGGTTGCTCTATTTAATTGGGTTTTATTTATGTTTTTGTACATTGATTTTTATTAAAATCATTCTTCTACTTCTCTAATATCACATTTCCCATTACATAAAACAATCCAGCTATCTCCTACAAAAGTTTTACAGGAATTGAGTCCCTTACCTCCACTTGAAAAAGAACTAAGGCTTCTAGAACTAATCCTGCTTTTGCATAAAATTCATTACCCTGATCTTCCTGAAAACTCTACACAAACTCGACAACTCAACTATAAAATCCATTTTAACATTTCCAAGTGTTAACTAGACTAGCATCATCTTCATTCTCTAAACCTTAATTCTATAAATCCAATATGCTATCAAATTGGGAGGTTTTCTATGAGTTGGCCAACATTATAATTGCTTCCCTATTTCTAAAACTCCCTACAATCTCTACTTTGATTACAAAGGCATTTTAGTCATCAACTACAACAAGTTTAATCCTTGGAATAATTTAAATCCAAGGCTCCAACAATTGAGGTTCGAAAATGTGGCATTTTCAAGAGGCTGATTGAAGTAAAAAATGTACTTAGTAAAGTTTTCATCCTTATTAAGGACTTTCTACTCATAGGTCACAGCTTCCCAAGGATGGAATGCCCTTAATTACATCCATGATTGCGGAATAGAACACTTAACTGAGGAAGCTACAAATCCCTATTTTTACTTTTATATATGGTGTTATATATATTATGCACAATGTTTTCTCCTTGTGCTTAGAAAAGTTGTTTCGGAAATCCACATCAAGGATCTATTATTCTAAAACCTAAAGGGTTCAGTTAAGCCCAATACAAAGGATCAAATAGATCACAATGAATATTAACATTTTTCCTTGTGTCGCGAATTTACTTTGACAATTTACTATCTTGATAAATGCCATTAGTTCACTCATCCAAGATGATGCCCGGTAGATTGAACAATAAAACTTGTGAAGGGACGTAATTTTGAGGCAAACTTTAGCACATTGATGTATTTGTCTTGCCTGATGGAGTAAGTAGCTCAAAATTTTGGAGTTACGATCATGGGAAAATATCTCCATAAACTATGCTTGTTGAGATTCAAAAAACCTAGGTTAGTTTTGTAATTCTGGTTAATAAGTTTTGGAAGGTAATTTTCTGGAAATGCAGCTAGATGAATTTCCTTTCACGATCATTATAAAAATTCCAAACACCCAAATTCTCAAACAAGAATCCAACAGTTTTCAAAGATAACTCAGACTTAACATTTGGCCACCAAATACTTTTTTTATGATTGACTTATTCAAATTTACAGGTCTTACAAAAGCCGGATTCACCAACTCCTACTTGCATCCAAACAACCTGCAAAAGTATGACCAACTTGATCACATTGATATGTCGTATGTTATCAGGGCATTTTAGACCATTCGGACCATGGAAAGTCTTAGTCGATTGGGCCGACAGAAGAATATTGGTAGTCAAGGGTGGTGGAGTTAAGTGAACTCCAGCCCATTCTGCCTGATGAGCTAGACCTACAGTTCAAGCTCCACCCGAGCAACCGGTGTAGCCGAGCTCGAACGTTTAGAACAGAAAGATGCTCTTCAGAGGTGAAACGAACGAGGAATTGAGACATGGAGTATGAAGGGTTGCGGAGGAGACTTACCTTACGAGGCGGCGTAGGGAGACGTCTGCGTCGGAGGCGGGACGACATCTGAGGCGGAGGCGGGACGACGACTGCACTTCAGATCGGCAAATGTGATAAGGAACCGGTAGTGAGGACCAGGCGCCCGCGAAGGAAGAGGAGGAGGAAGCCGGCGTGGTCGACAAAGAGACTTGTCCAGAGGACTAGCCAGAGCGAGCCTGTTGGAGAAAAGATCCGGGAAGGGATTTAGGTCATATCCTGGAAGAGTTATTACGTTCGACAAAAAACTGAAAATACAGGCGAATACCTTACGGTGTGCTGGTATCGAGCGTCAAAGTGACGTAGGGTTTTTTTTAATGGTCCTGGACTCATTCGGTATCCGAAGTAAGACTCTCTCATACTCCCTTAATTTCCAAGAACTTTTATTTGGTCCAGTGTAAGAACCTAGAGGAAGATTCGGTTTTGCCTCAAAAAGTACAAATACCGAGTTTTTTGAAAAAATACGTATTTGCATTTTTTGACCTATTTTTGCCTAAAACCGAACCTTCCTCTACATCCAGTGAAAGGACCTAATAATTGCTCCTTAATCTGACAAGAATATTCTCCCTATCTCTAAATATACTTTTCTCTCCCAAGCTCAAATCACTTTTCAGACTCTATATTATTGAAGACTCAAATCTTAATTTTTAATTTAGCCATGTCAAGAAAACCTTGATTGCCAAAGACTCTTTAAAATGAAATAAGAGTTTATTTTAAATAAGAGGCTCTAAGAAAAACTTAATTTTTAATTTAGTTATAACTATTCATACACTAAAATCTATTGATCATATAGTATGATTAATAAAGTTCTCTTACTATAGTACTATAGGATGAATAACTTATAGGATAATCAATTAAAGTAATTTAACAGATTGTATTATATGAATAAATTAATATAGTAAAACTAGCTCAACTCAAGATGATATCATATAGGATAAACAAATATCATCCAAAGATCCATCAGGTGATTCGAATAGTGTACTTTTTGGATTGTATTAGATGAACCATACTTTGTCTGTAGACTTCTCGATGGTTTTATACAGTATGATATATGTATAATATAGAATGATTGATAATCAATCAGATCTTATTTGATTAATTAATTAACTGAACTAATTAGGCCATTATTTAAAAGATGATACAATACAAAATGATTTGTATAATATAAATAGTTTAAATTTCAAATTTCAAAATTTCCTAGTTTAGATAAGCTAGATTTGATAATGGGGTTTCTTATTATAATTGATCATCCAGTATGATGTGGTGTTCATACTGTACTATTTATTTTGTTTCAAATTTATTTTTTTCCTTTTAAGATAAAAATTTTAATCAATTTATATAACAACTAATCATATAGTATGATTAATACAGTATTATACAATTTAAAAAAAAAATTCATTTTCATTTATGTGTGCTTGTATGGTTTCTACGTTACCACACACCTTTTATAATGCATTAACTCAATAAAAGATAAAAATACGAACTCTTGCAAAAAATCAATCCTATACTACCCAATTTTGAGGTCTAATCCTTTAGTAGTGCTTGGTGTAAGATGTACTTGAAATGTTAGTAAACATAGAAATATATATATATATAGATAATGTTTTCACAAAAAAGAAGGTAGAATTACCTATATTTGTAGGAGGGGTCATTGTTGACTAGAGTAGGATACATTTTTTTTTTTGGGGGGGAGCCCATAGAGGGGTCTACGCGTTGATTAAGGAAAATATTATAAGGTCCTTAAAAGGGACCTCAAGCTTAGTACTGCTCAAAAGAGCTACAAAAAGAAACCAAAAAACCCCTAAGAGCTCGAGTTACCTACTAAGCACAAGCACAAAGTAAAGTAGGTATAATCTATGGTGCATAGGTGTGAGCACCCAAAAAATAAGAAAGATCCAAATAATAGCTTTCAACACCATCTTTCCAGTCAGAACTCCAAAATTCAATAAACCTACACTAAATAACTCCTGCAAAATGAAATGAGTAGCAAAATGGAAAATGCACAATGACTGGTAGCTACAATAATAAGAGCAATTTTTCACAAAAAACATTAGATAACAATAAGAAAAGATAATCAGGCACCAAACAGTAAAATTATAAAAATTAACATCCTTAAACACAAATAGATGAAAAAACACCATCGAGCTCCAAAATTGATTGAACTCAATAGCAACAGTAATCCCGCAGGAGTTGGGAACCACCAAGGTATGGATACACCAAACAAAACAACCACGATTGCAGAGCAGCCAACCTTGCATATCAACTTAACATAGGAAAAGTAACACCTCCCACATAAGAATTACGAATAATAATACTTAAACATAGAGGAATTAAAGCAATGTAAATTGAAATAGGTGCCACCACAAAACTCCATGAAGTAACAATTCAAAGATATCCATCGAGTAATGCTAAAATAAAGCCAAAACTATGCAGTATAACAAAAAAAAAAATCCACCCAAGCTCAGACAATTAGTACCTGAATGACCATCATGAAAATAACCCAAGAGCCACTTCAGTCTAAACCAGACCCATCAAAGCTCAAAGAAGCCTTAATGAAGCAAGGGAATAGAACAAATAGCTGATATACAAAAGAAATATACCAAGCATAGTAACACAAATCACTCCCAAAAGAGCATGAGATGAAAATACAAACTAAAAAAATAAAAAGACAGCTAACAATCACATTGAAGCTAGAAAATTCCATGTAAGAGGGGAACCAAGGAAAACTCATATCCACACCACCAAATTTACCAAGCGACATGATACATAAATTCAACACAGTCCAAATAACACCACAATATGCTAACACGAGGCACACCACCAAGGGAATAGATGAGCAGCATAAGGGTTTAAACTCTAAAATAATAACAATATAATCATAGCTTAAAAATGGGCCAAAGAAAAAAACCAGAAGAAGATCCAAAAGGAACAACCAGTAACCAGTAAAAACATCAGACTTAACTAAATTAAAAGGAGGATGGGAGAACTACCAGCCCGCAAAGCATAAGGAAACACCTACATAAAAACACAAAGGAACTACAAGCGCAAAACAAAATAAAAGCCTAAATTCTAACATAGGCTAATCCAATTTTGTCTAATCTCAAAATACCCTTTAAAGGAGTAGGTAAGTTGATGGCAGAAAAATTAATAAGAAAGTACAAATTACAACCAAAAATAACAAGCCAATTAACACAAGCATTCCCTTCCTTATACACATGAGTCATGGTAAAATGAATAAAGATAAGCATCTGCTTAATATCCCTAACAAGATAAAATAATTCTAATTTGCCCATAGTATCAACTTCAATCCAAATGTTAGTAATGCTAAGAGAGATGCATAATCTAAAACCATGAAAAATCGTCGAAAGCTCAACATAAATAATAGAACCTTTATGTAAGGGCCCATATAGGCCATAATGACATTCCCATAAACATCCCTAATAATCCCACCACAACATGAGATCTACTGTTTGACAGATCCATTTGCATTTAGCTTATAGGTATTATTAGGGGGTTTAATCCAGTAAAATAACCTAGGCTCATCAGAAATATGATTACCCTCCAACGAGAGACCAAATTCAGGAGCCACAAAGAAATAATCCTTAAAGTTCTTGATAGAGAGAAGAATAATAGAATAGAGTATCAGAACTATATCTTTCAAATTCTTAATAAACTTACGATGGTTCATACCAATACCATTGAAAAGAGAATTATTTTTATCCAACCATAAACACCATAAAATAAGTGAAGGAATAACATTTCTAATATTTCCTTTAGACTTAATAAACCAATAACTAAGCATATAATTAATAGAAAAATTAGCATGGAAGCAATTTAATCTAAAAATATCATCAAAATATGTCCAAATTTTAACAGCTATAGGACCAGAAATAAAGACATGGTGCATGTTCTCCACATGATAACAACATTGATATTTGGAAGCTAAGATGAAACCTCTTTTAAATAAGTTCTCATCAATAGGAATGAACTTATGCAAGATTCTCCAAATAAAAATAGTAATAGTGGTAGGAATACTTTTATGCCAAATAATAGAAAAAAATTTAGTGGTATAGTTCTTAGTTCTGAATGCATATAAAGCTTTATTTATTCTAAAGCTCCCATTATTAGAAAGGTTGCACAATAATAAATCATCAAAATTAGTGTTACTTGAAAGGTTCAAAATTTTTTGAATAATAGACTCAAGAGTAACATCAGCAAGTTTATGATAATCCTAATAGTTCTAAGTAATGAAATAATTTACATTAACAGCAACACTTGTAGTAGCATTCATAATATAATCAATAGAATGGGCTCCTAGCCAATGATCTTGACAAAAGAAGATGTTACCACCACTAAGACCCTGTTTAATGTGAGGTTTAATAACCCATTTAATATTGCAAAGTCTTAGCCAAACTTTAGAATTACCTTTATTGTAAAAACACATAGTAGGGTACTTACCCACATAATACATAGCATACATAAACTTAGCCCAAAGACTCACTTTAGCATGAAAGTTGTACCACAATATAAAGGAAAAAGCATAAGACAAATCATACATATTCTTACAACCGAAAGCACCCTCTTCCAAAACACCACAACACTTATTCCAGCAGGACTAAAAAAATTTAGAATTATTGTTGGTCCCCTTCCAAAAGAATTTATTAAATAATTTTTCAATTCTATTGCAGACCTCACGAGTACGTTGAAGATTTTGGAAAATAAAAATAGGATGGGAACAAAAAAACACTTCTAATAAGAGTCAATTTTCACCAAAACTCAAAAAGTTAGAATCCCAAGATGTAAGCTTATTATGCACAAAAGTAATCAAATCATCAAAGAGAAAAATTTTCTTCTTACATTTGAAAAGAGGGACACCTAAGTACTTAATAGGAAATTGACCTTATAATAAACTAGTAAGGCCTTTAATAGCAATAATATGGTCATGAGACACTTTGTTGGAAGCAATAAAATAACTCTTACTCTTGTTAGGAGAAAGCCCACTAACTATTTCAAAATTTTGAGGAAAAACCATAAGCCTATTTATCTGGTTTAAAGAAGCACTAGTAAAGACACTAAAATCATCAGCAAAGCATAAATGAGAAATAGAAAAACCATCGAAAGTTCTAAAACAAAGACTAAGATGATTTTCAAAGGGGTTGGCAATACCTCTAGATAAGTACTCAGTAGTAATAATAAAAAGAACAAGCAATATAGGATCACGTTGTCTTAAACCTTCAAAGGATTTAAAAAAAAAACTAGTGT